AGAGAGAGAGAGAGAGAGAGAGAGAGAGAGAGAGAGAGAGAGACTAGTCCGGCCCTATACTCCGACAGAGAACACCGGTGAACACGAATATGGTACACAGTAGTCAACCCGAGGGTTGTTCAAACTGAGGGGGAGGGAGAGGGATGTACAAGGTGAGGGATGTACAGGTTGAGCAATCTATGTGTAAACACACCCACACAGGTTGTTTGTACAACAACTGTAATGCCATGTGCTATGCATGTGTAGCATCATTCCTGATGTCTGACGTGGTCTGTCGTGCTGTGTGGGTGTGTGTGTGTGTGGTGCCGTGGCCGAGCATTAACTATTGCGTCCCCTGTTGACAAGCCGGGGTGCAAAGTCTCTCCCCAAGCTGTGGCCACTGCGCCATGCAGGAGGCAGCTCAGGTTCAGTCCCCATGTCAGCGATGTTGCTAGCACAGCCTCTCTGTTCACCAGAACAAATCATCCCTTGCCGACACGTGACCATTTTTTCCCCTTGTTGCAGGATTGCATTATGCTGGTCACTGCAGCATACTGCATTGCGCCATCAGGTGTCGCCCCCTTGAACACCACACGCAGCACGTTGTGCGGATCGGAAAATACTCGTGCCAACCTGAGGATTGCATGTGCCCAACCTTTGGTTACTTGTCCACATGCCGTCTTGAGATCGTAGTACACATCATTGTCGTCGTCCTCTTCGTTGCTGCTGACGTCGCTGCCGCTCACCTCCACATCAGACCCCTCGTACTCTTCCTCATCCTCCTCCTCTGCATCATCTCTGTGCTCTGCATCGTCTATGCGCTCTGCCAACTGTTGTTCCCCTAAGAAGAAACCCTCACCCATGTCCATATACACCAAGTCCTCTGTCGTTGATGTGTGCATGGTAGACCCGTCGACCACCATCGTCCCACTCGTATCTTGTGCTGCTGATGTCTCCCCGGTTTCTTCAATGATCGGTAACCCTGTTTCGTTGGCAATCAACCTCCAACCCTCTTCCCTTTCTCTCTGTCTCTCAACATCGCAGGTTGCAAGACCAAGCCGCTCCAGAGCACAACCCAACAAGCCCCCCCACAATGGTCTGCCACTAATGATCTCCTCTCCTGCTGACGCTGACACAAAATCAATGAGATCTCGACCCTGCACGGCGTACTCTGTGACTTCGTGCAAGGCCTCATGAATGACGTTCCTGTCATCCTCTGTCTTGTTCGTGAGGTCACATAGCTGATCAAGCAGAACTTATTCCACACCGTCTGCAACAATCACGGGAAGCTCTTGAAAGTCCAGGGGCGGTGTTTGTGTCATGTCCTTGATTCTGGACATAAACACTAGTATTTCTGCAGCACCCCTCTTTAACTCGTTGTTCGCCCCTTCAACAAGCATGTCCCATCCCTTCGCCACACTCACCATAAACTTCCTGAAAGCCACAGGTGTATAGGTCCCCCCTTTCTGTTGCATTGTCATGTCGACAAGTCCTTCGTCGCACATACCTTCGCTGCACATCCACTGCAGAACTCCTTTTAGACTGTATGGGCCGTCTTCCGCGTCGCTGTCCACACGAACATCAGGTGACTCTCTCAATCGTTCCAAGAGTGTTCGTGCCTGCACACAACCACTGCCGTTGGCCATGATCGTGGATCTCATATCCACGCTAACAACAAAGTACCTCGGCACCCTCTCCTCCAACAAAGACAACTCGCCACGGCCGTTGTAGTGGAAGCCCTCCTCTGCATACTTCATCACCTCTATGAGAGTCTTCGCCACTTGTGCTACCGACATCGACATGATGCACAAGCTTTGTCTTTCGACCTCTTCTCTCTGCCAGCGGAAACGCACAAAAACGTCATCGACATGTCTGTGTGTATGTGTGTGCGTGTGTGTGTGTGTGTGTGTGTGT